AAAAATTACGGGCTGAAATATAGGTGTCATATATGATGTCTTTCGTTTTTGTTGACGCTTATGTCTTTAAATTACTAACGCTTTTTATATTGTGTTTTTTTGTAGAGGTCTTTTAATATTGATGATGATTGAAAATCATATTGTCTTCAATTGGTCGGAAAAAGACTAAGAGGGTTTCGATCTTTTTTGGCAAACAAGTTTCTTAGGGATGCCGACAATAATTTTATTGATGCAGAGCGTCCAAAAGTGTATGCAGGCTTGGTTTCGCTTGAAGAATGGGAAACCTTCAAATAAAAAAGAAGAACCTCATATTTTTAGGATGTGACTGGCATGAATCGCCAACGAGCATCAAGTCCCCCGTATCCATATAGGAAAGGGCGTATGGGATATGCACGTTTGCAGCAAAGATTGGTAAGTATATATAAATGCTATGATATAATTGTTCATCATGTGTTATTATTGATTTTATTATTTTTCTTAATGTGTAGTTAGAAGAGGAGAAAAGTCAAGAAACATCTCTTTCGGAATATGTTCTGTGGAAGGCTGCCCGGGTGGGTAAGGATGGAGTTGTTAAGGAAGATATGCAGCGAATTTATGAGCAATGTGTAAGTATATCAATATTCCTTTAATTAAATATTGAGATTATTAAAATAAAGAAATATGAGTTTAATCACCACTAATTTATTTTGCTATGCATATGAATTTCAGGAGAGTCTATCTCAATCTTTAACTCAAGCTGAAGACCTTAATTGCAGGAGCATACTTAGTCGGGTATTAAATGTTCCTGAGTATACCGGTCGTGTGAGTGGTATGGGATTTGGAGTGACTCAAACATATTTGGGTAACCATCAAAAGAGGAAATAAAATAACAATAAAGAAGTGATTGAAGAGTTAGAAAAATTAAAAGCTAAAGTTCGTGAGCTGGAAAAGGACAAAGAAAAATACATGTCAGAAAGGCAAGGTCCAGGGTTCAAGGATACTAGTGACAAAGATAGTATCAATTATGATTTCCAACAGAAAATTCCCGAGGTAATATATATTATTATGAATTAGCACAATTTTTTTAATTGACATATATACACATTAACAATTTCATATTTATTATTGGTTTAGGGTATTTCACCTTGTCAGCTATATTTATCGTCACCGACTTATTGCATGGTTGGCAAGGGAAAAGTGCATAACACCTTGGGAGAAGTAATTCACCATAAACCGCTCCCTGCTGTATTTATGAAAGTGTCAATTGATATTGTTTAGAGAGGGATGCACCATTACCTTTGCCTGACGATATTTCAGATGCAACATTGGTGGGAGAGGAAATAGGATCGTATGTTGCATGGCCGTCAAACCTCATTTGCATATATGAGGAGGTATGTTTTAAACCATTATGAACCTTTGAGTATTCAAATTTTTTACGACCATTTAACGTACATTTTTTTCATGGTAATGTTAGACTCCCACAAAATCTAAATCAAAAGATAAGGGGATTAAGTAGCAAACCGAGTCAGTTGCATAAAAAAAAGAGGTATAACACAATTATATGATATTTATGCATAGAATGATCTTATACTTCACCTAACTAATTAAATGATATTTAGATGCATACTAAAGAGATTGAGCAAGTCAGTAGGGATAAGAAGACCGCGGCTAGCAAAAAACCTACTTCTCAATATAGGTCGTGCCTTCAGACATATATAGGAATAACAAATATTCCAACTGGTGGTACTCGTCTTATACCTATGAAGGCAGACATTTTTGGTTATGAATACATGAAAGCAATTGGTAGAGAAGATATTGATCAAGTTTTACTATATTCTACTTTAGGCCTCGGTGTTATCGATACATACATCAGGTATACTCCGATCAACTTTGCTTAATTAAATGGACAATTTATTTACCTATTTTAATGAATATAGTCTAATTTTAATGATGTTTTTATTTAAGGTTTTTGTATGACAAAGTGATGCGCCCGCGTGGATTGGAAGAAAGATTTGCTTTCTTAGCTCCCAACACCGTTAATTGTAAAAAAACTAGATGATGTCATATCGTATGTACTCAGTTTATTTATGGTCAGCAAAGATACAGAAAAGTTGTTCTTTTTACCATATAATACTGGCAATGAGTTAGATTTTCATCCTAACTTCATCTATTATAATTTTTTTCGATTTTTGACATTGTGTAGAAACTTTCCATCAAACATTTGTTTAATTTTACAGTAGACATTGTTTGTTGCTTATGATTAATCCTGTTAGAGAGATTGTATACTATCTGGATTCGTTATACACTGATTGGACAACATACCCAGATTTGAAGAAGATGATTGATACGTAAGGGAGATTGTTCTAAATATTTGTGTGTATATTTATTTATCTATGTGAGATTGTTCTAAATAGTCGTTTATATATTATTATAGCGTTCTACAAGCTTTTCGATCATAAAGAGGTATTCAAGTACCAAAGAGTATAGCCAACAACATTACGCGTACCAGAGTGCAGGTATATTTTCACAATTTTGATTATATTAGTAATGATACTTGATGAAACAAGTTAAGGGGTATATCCTGATATATATCTGTATTTTCTTTCCATGTGTAGTGTCCTCGTCAATGTAATGGTATAAATTCCGGTTATTTCATGTTGAGGTTTATGAAAGAAATGCTTCTTTTGGACCGAATAGAGATTCCATCCACGATATAAATTTCTAACTTATGAATTATTTTAATATTTCTCATAAAATGGCATAGTGTTTTAACTAAATCGCATACTATGTTATATTACTATGTAGTACTTTGACGAATTCAACTGTGCTCATTACTCAAAAGATCAATTGGATGAACTTATGGAGGAATGATGTCAATTCATTATGGAGTTGAGAATTTTATAAGGTATATTGTCTTTCTTTCATTGATGAGAATTTTGAGTACAACTTTTAAGTTTTGAGTATAAATTGAAATAAAGTTTTGTTTTATCATGGTATGAATTTCGATCTTTTGATTTTGTTTCAGGTTATAGGTGCAGATGTAGAAGATAGAGCTAACAAGTTCTTTGTTATTGTTTTTTAGAAATTCTCGAAGATAGTAATATGTAGATTAAACATCAATTTAGAATTTTTAGAATTTTCAAGTTGTATCATTAATTTTCAAGTTGTTGTTGTATATATCATCATATATATATATATATATATATGTAAATTTCTTGTATATGCAAATTTGATGTATATATATTGGATTGAAGCTACCAAATCTGGTGCAAAATATGGTGAAAACCTGGTGCAAAAAATGGTGAAAATCTGGTGCAAAATCTGGTGAAAACCTGGTGCAAAAAATGGAGAAAATCTGGTCAAAATTTATTGTAGATATTGGACAGTGCTTCTATAAGTGAAAATATGTCTAATATTTAAGAATTTTTGTTAACATTAGACAGCGTTTGGTGAGAAAAGCGTTGTCTAAAGTAGGGAGAAAGCGCTGCATAAGGTGGGGAACAGACAACACTTTTAAAGAAAAGCGTTGTCTAAAGTAGGGAGAAAGCGCTACCTAAAATGGGAAAGCGCTATCTAAGGTGGGGAACAGACAACGCTTTTAAAGAAAAGTGTTGTCTAAAGCGATGCAAAAAGCGCTGTCTAAAGAGCTGTCTAAAATGAGAAAGCGCTGCTAAAGGTGTACTTGCCAAAGCATTCTCTAAAGTGAAAGCATTGCTAAAGGGGTGCATAAGAAAGTGCTCTTAAAGTAAAAGCGCTGCTAAAGGGGACATATAGAAGTGCTTTTAAATAAATCCAAAGCGTTGCCTTTACTTATAGCAGCGCTGGTTTAGGCAGCACTTTAAAGCGTTGTCTATAGCCAAAAAAGTGTTGTCTATGCACTTGTTTGGCATAGTGATAGAGATGAGATGCCTCCAAGATATTTATACAAGTATATCACAACAATTGAAACCTAAAACACATTCTTAAAATACAATAACATCTAAAAATTTGTGTGCGTAGCTGGTTAATTAATCGATTACTACTGACACAAACAATTCAACACAGCTGTAACCGATTAACTAATTGATTACCACTGAAACAAAATAACTTTTTTCAAGTTTTAGAAGTGCTTATTTTCCAACTATAACAGATTACCATCACGTATTATTCGGTTAGAGCACTTAAATTATGAATTTTTCATCCAATAATTTTATATTTAACGTCCTCTTTTAAAATAGGTAAATTAAATTTAAAATGTTATACCATTTGGACTTGTTAAATGATGGGAATAATCCCTTTAGTTAGTATGGAGAATTTTTCCAAATAAAATTCTGACCAAAGATAACTTGATTAAAAGAGGTGTAATTGTGGCCATTCAATTGGAATGCTGATTGCGATGGTGAAAAGAAAATTCATCATATTTTTTTCGAAAGTCCGGTGGTAAAAGATTTATGGTAAAAAAATTCTATCATGGTTGAAAATACATTTTGATATGCAGAATTCCTTTTCACATTTTTATCAATTGATGGTCCAAAAGAACCCATAATAGTCATACCGATAGACCCAGATTCTCAAGTCAAATGGGGACATTGTAGACAAAAATATAGAATGTATGTTCCCACACAACACAAGTTGTCCAATAACATCATGCAAAAGAAAATTAAGCACCGTAACTTAAGGAGAGACTAGATAACAGTTCTACCAAATATTTTCCTTTATTTAAAAAAATAATGGAAACCATAAGAAAAAAACAACAAATAATCATTTCACATTAATTAATTATTATTTCAAACATCATGTCTTGTACTTCGTGATTAAAACATTGCAAAAAACAAGACAATATATATAGAAATACAACTAAAGTAAAAAAGAAAAAAAAAAACTTTCATATATAATTAATTAACTTATAATAAATTCTTTAATCACCTTTGTGTTTTTTTAACCGAAATTAGCACAGGAAAACATAGAAAAAACACACAGACAACAAACACTTCAAAAGTAAAATGAATTCTTCACTTTGCTAATGATACCAAACCAAATTCTCATGGCTCAAACTCATTTTGTTCATCTTCAAACTGATTCACAACTTGGTTCTTATAACCATTGTAGCTTCCATGGTTATTCTGGTAGTATCCATTGTTGTAACCATTGTTGTTACCATTGTTGTCAGTGTTATAGCTGTTACCATTGTTGTGGTACCAATTATTTGTGTTAACTCCTCTGGAATATGAATCACCGTACGTTGTTGGGTTGTATTTCTCATTGTTAATATCATGGAAATATTTTCCACCTTCCAAAAACCTTGTGTCACTCATCCCTTGTTTCTCAACATTGTAATAGTTATTGTTGTTGTTATTGTTGTTGTGGAATGGTCTTTCATTGTTGTTTTGTTTTTCCATCACGGAGTTGTAATTGTAACCTTCTCCATTGTACTTTGTGTCACTCAACTCATTTTGACTATTTCCAAAAGGATCCTTGTTGTAATAGTTTGTGTTATAGGCATCATTGTTGTAGTACTTGTTGTTGTTTTCGAACTCGGAGTTCGTTGCGGTGGTGGTTGGAAGGTGATCGGATTCATGGCCATATAAACCATAGCTGTTGTTTTCAGTTTGAGGGATGAAAGATGGTTGTTGGTTTTCTGGTTTGTTTGTGAGGGTTGTTGATTCTTCTTTGTTGGGGATTTGTGTTTCTTTGTTGAAATGAGTGACTTTGCTGAAGAATTCACTGTCTCTGGCTATGGTTTGAAGAGGTAGCAAGAGGGTTGTGAAGAGAAGGAGAGAAATGAAGTTTGATGATGGAGACATAGTGGAAGAGGGAAGATGGGTTTGGTTTTTTTGGAGTAGGTTTAGTGATGCAAAAGTGTGAGTGCCTCAAGTGTCTTTTTATAGAGCAATTTCTTAAACCTTCTCTCCCTCTCTTTAAATTTTCAACTCATTAGCTGTGAAATTGTGCAAATTAATGGAGTTAAGTTGGGTGATTGTGGTCCTCTACAAAAGTAATTTTTGCTTATTTAAATACATTTAGAATGACTTATCATTAGTTAGTCACTCGTAAATACTCACTTGATTTGTATAAGAGCAATATTGTAATATAGACGTAATTAAGCTCGAGTTCAAGAAGTTTCAAGTCTTAAATTTGATGTGATTTAATTTAGTTTGACTCAATATCAAATGTATTTTCTGTTTTAAATAAAATGGTTAACCGAGATCAAACTCCGAAATTCTAGTTAAATTAGAAAAGATCTCCTCCATGTCATTCAAGTTTTCTTGTGTAACAAAATTGTTAAATCAATATTATTCTAATTGAATTGCTAATCTTGTACAAAAGTTTAGTTATTATATTCATGGTTTTCTGTTAGCTCTATCTAAAATATAGCTAAACATTTACTTAGGGTATTTAAGTTTTCCTTTGTTGCAAGCAAAGCCATATTATTGATTGGTAGTTGCATCATAGATTATGACACAACCATTGCATTCATACCCAACGGCCCATAATGTATCATACCAAAATATATTAATGGTGCTATCAAATGTCATAAAAGAATTATAGGAGTACCAACTCTATCAATTTTTGTGTGTTTTAAATCCTAGTAAATACGAGAAAATTAACAGTAAAATAATGAAATATTATTGGTTCAAATGTTTCATTTTCTCTTAACATATTCCAACTAAAAGTTGGAAAATTGCAAGAGTAGTGTTGAATGAAAAGGACAGGAAGATGGGGAAAAGTCTATAGCGAGTAGTTATGCGTGGATTGAGGAGTTGGCGGGACATGAAACATTTATGGGCACAAAACATGTGTGCCTTGTATAATACGTTGAGTCGTGGTATTCAAATCACCCCTTTATCACATAATGTCTTTAATTAGGCTTTCATTTCTTACTACCATAGTTTCGGCCATTTAAACTTTTTGACTTTAGTACATTATACTTATTGCTCCTTAACCTCCAAATTTTCAATTAAGTTAATAATTTTATTTATATAAATAGTTATTGTTTTCGGGGAAATTGCATTAAAAATTTGGATGGATAAAAATTATTTATTGAAATCAGTTGATCTTTTATAAAAAGAAATTTATAGATAATAATGTTGTATCTCCTATAACAATGAATTTTATATATATATATATATATATATATATATATATATATATATATATATATATATATATATATATATATATATATATATATATATATATATATATATATATATATATATATTATACTAGCATAAATTAGATGAGTTGAATTTTTAATGTCCACACATGCTCAAGGTTGTTCATCAGAGGTTGTTAGAGTAATTACATCATTTTTGAAATAATATTTATCAAAGAGGTCTCTCACACTAGAAATGAGAATTAGATCCACTAGAGTTGAACTTGTGTTTTTGCTCAATGGTTTAGAAAAATCTTTTTCTTTAAGTGTCTTTGATGATGATGGTGATGTTAACAAACTATGTTCCGTCTGATCGTTATGTATATGACTAGTGGTGGAAGTAAATTTGTCAACACTTTAACGATCAAATCATATATGACCGTAAGTGCGAAATTTATAGTTTAGAATGACATGTATCTGTGTCTAGATTATTCTTTAGATTTTATAGTCATATACTAGGGTTTAAAGGTCTTATAATCATATTTGGGGAAAACTATTTGAAGGGATAAATGTTAGATGATCCTGCAAGTTCATCTCCTTGTCTGCCTTATTTCTTGAGACTTAGGTGATTCATTTTTATATAGATTAGCACAGACCAAAATAATAGCCTCCAATTCTAGACCAACAGAGCCACGTTATGGCTTTGTATCAAGACTATTTAACTCAGGTCCTATTTTCATTGATGATGATTACAACTATGATCCTTGATGGGACTTAGATAGATGATTCCAATAAGAGATCATAAAGTACATGTGTTGGACGTCACAATTTTATCTGTGAAATTTGCATTGAACTACCAACGTCCCTAATGGGACGACCATCTATGAATAACGTGACTTCGTTTTGATCTCTGGCCTCCCCTCCCTTTTCCATTTGAACCCTAGCCCTAGAGGTGAACAACTTATGATGAGGCATGACTTGATTATTTTTAAGGAAACCACAATTGTAATGATGGTTTTAATGAGGAATGTGACTTTTCCATATTGTGTTATTTATACAATTGCATGTTCGTGTTATCTTTGTTCCTTAACTGTTAATCGTTGGATATACAAGCTTTTTACATTCTTGGATTTGTTGAGCATGTATTTTAGAATGTGGAACTATATTTTTCCACTATTTTCATTTCTTTTTATTGCCTCTCTGATTTCTTAAAATGCTTATTTAAGGTTAAAACATCATTGATGTTATTCCTTCAAGATTTTTTCTTAGGATGACTTTACCTCATTATATTCATCTACTTGTAAATCTAAACTAGTTTTGTGATTTATGTTTTTCTTCCCTGTCATGAATGTGTTGTGCCTGCCTATGTGGTGATGTATCCTCCTTGAGTGGAGTTGCTCTAGGTATTTTGTTCTCTTCATATCTAAGGGATGATGGAAATAAACATATATTCATTTTAGGAATCATCAATCTAATTGATCTTCTAGGTTCAAAAATATGAGAAATAAATTTTTTGAACACTTTTTATGCTAAGTGAGAAGTGGTCAAAATAGTCAAGTATCCTCTTGCACATTGGTTGTAGATCCAAAAATGGATACACAATAATGTTACATGAATTCAGAAACCCAATGACATCCTGCCTGTTGGACAAGAGACTCTAAACACAAGATGAATTATGTTTGTTTGAAAAACAATATCGGATTTAGAATTATTTGATAAAAGAAATTGTTTAAATATATTTTGTAAACCAACAAATAATAGGTAACAGAATAAGAAAAGAAAAGGAAATCAGAGAAAGAAAAGACGAAATAACAATGGAATTAAATAAATAGCAGAAATGTAAGGAGATAAGGGTTAAGAGAATTGCACTATATATTTATAGAGTTTCGACCCAACCACTTGGCCTACTCCTCTCCCCAATGTAAGAACAAGATTTTGTTCCGCATCTGCCCTTTAGTTTTGATGATAACAATATAGTGTTTGTTAAAAAGTGAGATGATTTTGATATATCTATTTCTCATAACTGATCTCATACATGTTCTGATATTTTGCCTCTAACATTGTTTGACTTATCAGGAACTTTGAGAAAGTTCACTGATTTTTTTAAACAGGAAAAGTTCAAAAACTCTAAAGAAATGTCGTGTTTTGACATCGAGAAATCATGACTCTAGTAAACCATATTATGGTACATCAGTCATGGTTCAATCGGGTTTTGATTCATAAGTTTTATTACGTCATCAAAACCAGGTTCTAATTGGTCTGATAGCAAGCTAGGATGTGAGATGATCAACCAGGAAATTCTATTCGGATTAATGATAAACCATACATTCTACTCAGACTCTGATGATGTTCGTAACCAGGCACTCAAATCAGATTATGACAAGGAAATTATTTCCTTTCATGCTGATTAAGGTATTTATATTTCACAATTATTTCATAAGTCTTGAACTCAGGGGGAGCCTCTAAATAAGCTGAGATAAGTTTTGAGAGTATAGAACTCAGGGGGGAGTTATTTAGCTAACTCTGATTTGTTTTATGTGATTAAACTTGTAAAAATTGTTCATCAAAATACATGATTTTGTCATCATAAAAAAGGGGAGATTGTAAGAATAAGATTTGGTTCTGTATATGGCCTTTAGTTTTGATGTTAACAATACAGTGCATGTTAGAGAATAATTATATACCCTAATAGTTATGTCTAGTGTGTAGTTGTTGCTAACAGGTTCTGACTCTGATAGAATGGCGCGTGACATCATAAATTTCTAGAATCAACACACTCAGACTCTTGAGAGATCACTACTATAAAACGCACAAACAACAACGCCCAATTCACCACAGTTCTTCCAAACATCGTGGTGACATCTCTAAACTCATGCGCTAACATTTTTTTAGTTAAAAATTGTTAGGATATAATAACGGTTGATGAAATCACTGTGGTGATACAATCAAGCTTTAATGGGTTCGAACCTCAGTGCCCTCAAATGTTTCATTCCTTTAATGTTAAGACGCGTCTTTTCCTTTTTTTATTATTTTTAAATAAAAAAATAAAAAAGGATATCACTACGGTTGTTTTGTTCAAGCGTTGTGGCGCACACACACACACACACACACACACACACACACACACACACACACACACACACACACACACACACACACACACACACACACACACATATATATATATATATATATATATATATATATATATATATATATATATATATATATATATATATATATATATATATATATATATATATATATATATATATATCACCACGGTTGGTAATGTCAACCGTTGTGAAATTGTTCATCCATATATAAGTGAATTAACTTTTGCTTCTAGATAGTATCATCGTATATTTCACATCAAAACCCTTACACTCATTTTTATCCTCTTCGTCATTAGCTTTCCTATTCTACAGTATAGTCGTCAATCTTGTTCTTCATACATAAAGGTATTGTTCTTCCTTATTCTCTCGTTTTCATGTATGTTGTTGTTACGTTTCACATGATTTTCTTCTTGTTAGATAGTTTATGGTTTTTTTAGTTGTATGTTGTTATTGAGAAATGTAGATAAATGTTTCTTAACATGATTTACATATTATTTACTTCAGGTTCACATGTTTTTTTGCTGTTGCTTGTTGTCAACAAATATTCAAAAAATTTACAATGACAACAATATCATCATCAACCTGTGCTTGA